TTTTCTTAATCGTCATAATCATTTAGCCAATTTTGCTAAAATTTTGAGAAATAATATATGGCATTATTGCTTGAAACTTCTTTAAAATCCTTAATGAAAGAGGCACAAATTGTCGCGTCTTTCTTTTTCACTTTTATATAAATTTCCTTCTAGTTTTCAACATATTTTAAAAAAATCGTATAAGGGGTAAAAGCAATTTAAAAAAAGTTTCCACCACGCTTGTCACCCTGTATCTAGAACACAGAACAGGTCTGGACTCTTTGAAGTTGGCTAGACTTTAATAACATCCTGTATGTATAATGTACTATACGAGTATATAGCACAAAATACTACCAGAGACTAAATTCTGACTGAAATCGTTGAGTTTGGTAGGACTTCCGTCACTGTCGCTGTGACACATCAAGCAATAAAAATTGTAGGAACGACTGACGATATGGCAGTAAGATCTTGAAACGTATGAACTATGCTATCAAAATTATTAGAATATTTTTATGACACGATCAATCTGTCTGATATACATGACAGCTCTATAGCTGCTCGCGTAGTTAACTTTGTCTGGTGCACATGTGTGAGGAACATTTGTTGATTGCATGTAACCGAATACCAGCGTGTAAGCGTATCCGTATTCTATTCTAACCAGCAGCAATGAGATGCATTTTTCTAGTTGGTGATCAGGTTTGATAGTAAGCCGTCGTAATTAAGATCCAGTTTCTGATTCATTTGATACAGCGTACACAGACTCGTTCGTCTTTTATTTGCTGATTGGTTGGATTATTTTTACGAACTTTTCCCATAGTGTTTATGTTTAATTTATAAGATATATCTATTACTAATAATAAATTCTCCTAGGAACCATGCTTACCGAAAGCAAAGGACACTCGTAGCCCGACAGCGATGCGACACGGTATATGTATTCAAATACAGGGTGCGGCAGAGAGGATGGACGGTTTTAAAAAAAATCATAAAATAGTTAATTTTTATTCGAAAACAAATTTATTGATGGAATCAGGTTCACAAGGAAATAGCATTTGAGACAGTCAAGTGTGGAAAGTCACATCAGGCATGTGGTGGCCGAAATCGTTGATGCAGTGCTGGAGGCGTTCTTGGAAGTTCGCGTAGACTCTCTCCAACATCCCTCTCTCAACTTGGGCGACTTCCACGCGAATTTCGCCCTTCAATTCGTCCAGAGTTCGGGGCTTGTTCGCGTATACTCTAGCCTTGAGGTTTCCCCATAAGAAAAAATCGCATATGGATAAATCTGGGGACCAAGGAGCGAGGAGGCCAATGAACGTCGCCAAACCTGGAAATACGGCGACCAGGGAAGAGAGGGCGAATAACGTCCATGGATGCTCGGGCTGTGTGGGCGGTCGCTCCATCGTGCTGGAACCACACACGTCGGATTGGAACACGTCGCCGTCGTAATTCAGGGAGAAAGAAGTTGGTGATCATCTCGACGTAGCGCTCTGAGTTCACGGTAACATCACGACCATTACCGTCTTCGAAGAAGGGCCAATGATGCAAGTTTGCGATACAGCACACCAAACCGTTACTTTTGGGCTGTGCAGTGGTCTTTCGTGTAACTGTTGCGGATTTTCATTAGCCCAATAAAGACAATTCTGCTGGTAAACCATGCTGTTTAGATGAAAGTGCGCTTCGTTTCGTCACTCATAAACAAAATGAGGTTCTTATTTTGATCGATCAGTGCATCCATCTCACGTGCGAAGTTCATTCGTTGTGCATAATCTCCGGGCTGTAACTGTTGCACAATGACCAATTTGTAGGGGTGAAAGCGGAGATCCATATGCAAAATTCGCCTTACCGAACGATCACTAAGGCGAAGTGCAGCAGCATGCTTCCGGGCAGATCGAGTCGGACTGCGAAGAAAGACCTGTCGAACGCGTTCAACATTTTCAGGAGTTCGAACTGTTCGCGGCGCTCCTCTTGGTCTTCTGTTGATCAGTTCACCACGCCTGCGAAGTGATTCAACCCAACGAAGGATGGTGTTTCGAGAGGGAACAGTTCTATTCCGATGAATGTTGAAGTGGCGACGAAACTCACGCTGAACGACGATGACTGACTCATTATTTCGGACGAAACAATCATACGCGAAAACGCGGTGCTCCACCGTCCAAGGCCCCATAACGACAACTGGTAAAATAATGCTAGGATCTCACGAGTCAAACAGCACCCTCCCCACCTCTCTCGTAGACGGTGGCGGAGAGTACTACCCATCCCAAAAACGTCCGTCCTCTCTGCCGCACCCTGTACAACCGTTTATACCAAAAAGACGGTAACGTGACCAAATGCTAGACTGTTGCTGGCATTGCCGTCGCTAGTCGGATGGTAAAAGAAAAAAAGAATATCACATACGTATATTCCAATAATGGCGTTTAAGAGCCAAAATAGTCTACAGCTTCGCCTCCACATAAATAAGTATTCCAGTAGTGCGCCAGGGTGTTCTGGGGAAGCAAGCATAACCGACGTCAGCCTTATTTTATTTTTATTATAAAAATAATATAAAAATCTACAATACAATTTCCTAAACTAAAAAAGCATTTCAAAGCAACCCTTGGATTTTAACAGAAGACAATTCGAAAAGTATCCTGGATGAAAAGGCAGTAGATTTTCAAAATCGATCCAGTATTGGTGGGATTATCAGTGAAAAACGAAACAATTGATAACGTAATCAAACTTTGTTTTTTTGACACTTCCCATCTTCGTAGATATCCTAGGTCATAGCCAAAAATAATTTTTGTGGGCTCAAAGATGTTGTTCCATAATTTAATTATCACTAAAGGAACATTTCTAATCTAGCAAGGCGCAGGCACACGTACTGGGTGAATGTTACGTAATAGACATATATATTATGGCCAAAACTTTGTACTTGTACATACTTGAATCCATTTTTACTTCCCACATTGCTGGCGAGAAGGTATTGTAATCGGGAAAAATTGCGAAGATGAGATATTGAGTCTTTTGGATATCAATCATTTCCGTCAGTCTGTCTCTCGGTCAGTCTGTCGGCCTGTCTATTAGTTAATCTTTCACTCTCTATAACTTAGACAGTACCGCTCGAATTTTGATGAAATCTTAGCATAAGGTTGCTACTGCACCAAGGACGAAAAATAATAGAAATATTTTCAACACACGCGTCTTACGCAACTCAACGAACATCGGGTCTGCTCGCAGGCTGGATGGATTAGGATTAGCCATAGCAACGTTGGCCAGATTGCCGATACTGTCGGTAGGACAGGGGAGGGAAGATTTCCAGATTGCTACGTTATTAAATGGGTAGGAACTCTGTACTAATTGCTTGGGCTTGTTTGACTTGATTCATTCAATTTTTTGTTATACCTGTTCGTAGCTAAATTTTTATCTCAGAGGGGCTAACTTGTGCCTAACATGAATCTTTTATGAACTGATGACATCGTTGTTGGGAAGTGCAGAGTTAACCTGCTTGACGCCCTTTTTCCAAACGTTTTTTTCTTGATAAGTGTTTTTGGTTGGCACATACCATAAAGCGCTCATTATTGTACGTGTAGAACGTGCAGTGTATGTAGATGTAATGTCTAATGCGTCAATCACAGCCCTGCGAATTAAACATTTATCCGACTATAGTCTCGGCAATTAGCAGATAACGATATGCAGAGGTTAAAGACATACAATTTATTGTCGACGGTGTGTTTGATAATAATTAAATGTTTTTCACGTACGAGAAATTAGAACGCACGAAGAACGTTATCTCGAAAACAGGAAGCCGACTTATCAGCTGATATCACAAGTAAAGTTCTCACAAGAATCGCATCTCACATATCGCGGGAAAAGTTTCAAGAGGAAAAAGCTTTATCGAAAAGAGTAGGTCCTTATGCCGACGTCAATCACTTCGTTCCCATCTGAGACCTTCGTGTGAATTTCGATATCACTCAATGCCGTTCCCTTGATATGCAAGTGTGTCGAATAATTGTTAGTATAACATGACCATATGGATGGTGGGATACATGGCGAACGACTAAGGGATTTTAGTAAGTATGCCATATTTTGTAGTGTGAGATTACGTTAGGTAGGAAAGGCTGACAAAAGGCATTTGTCGAGCTGTTTTGTCGGAAATTGGCTAGACATCCTTTCCCCTGTCAACATAAAAAAACATGGACAAGTGAGAGTAATGGATGTCTCGTATCGAGATTTAGAACCTTATACATTGTGATATAAAATTCTACAGCGTGTTTCTTAAACATGGGACGGAAACTCAAAAGGGATGAGTCAATGGAAATTTAAAATTTCGCTACATTTCACACATCACGAAAAACATTTGCGTAAAACATGTTTTATAGTCAAATCACACATAAAGCTCCGCAATACAAAAATAAGTAAGCATCTCCAGCTAGAATAAAAAATTCAAATCTCCTGCCAGAAACTGCCGAACCCATCCAAATACACCAAGATAGTCTATCATGATTTACAAGTTACCTCTGATTGCTCGTGGCTGTTTAACGAAATCGGAACCAACCACACTGATCTTCAGACTAAACGTCCTGGGTTATGCCCTATGAGCTATAGTTACTCACTACTTCAGTGGAACATCGGATGATGATTTCTTCTGGATGTAACTCAATAAGAAATAACATTGATGCATTTAAAAGAACTATGTATGCATTTTAGCTGAAAGTAGACATTTCCAACAACTTTGTTGATTGAGAAGATGAACACATAACATAAGGGTTTCTTGCCCCTTAAAATGTTTGCCAACGTTAAGAAAACCCTCGGCACTCTTAGGTGGCAGTATCACTTACTCACGCACCACATATTAAATTTTCCAGTCGGCTATATCCACCGGTTTGCTTTCGGATTGTCTATTTTCAATAATTAACCAATACCATACCGATGATTGCTAAAAAGCATGGAACAACAGTTGTTATGGTCACAGAGACGGAAAGCAAAGAGACTATTCAGCCAACATCATATATACATATTAGAATAACATGTATGTACATAACTCAATTACATTATCTTTTACAGGCAGTTCAGTACTCACTGGTTTTCGATCGTGGCTCTCGAGGCCCATCAACTGTCACCTTGATCGCTTTGTTGTACGTGGCAACTTGTGGTGGATTAGAAGCTATCGTTATCGTTATCGAAAACGACTTTCCTGAAACATAAAACAATTTATTGTATATTGAACTAAAGGTACAAGAAATATTCAGGTATAATTTGTATGCACCACTGAACCACTTAAATCTATGAAAAATAAAACTCAATTTTTTGTACGGTACGTTCCTTTGTACTGTTCCGTGTCAGCGCTCTATTTTGAGGTTATGTCACAAATATCTATTTGCATCAAATTGTGCATGTTTTTGATTTATATCATCTGTTTTTTCCTACAGTTCAAAAAGAAAACATAACTTCACAATAGTAGAGCGCTGACGCTGAGACGGAACAGGTGAAATCTAGAAAAACCCCAACCTCTCTGAACGAGAGAAATGACTATGATAATCAAGGAGGCCATAAAGGCGTCCTACAATTATTGTACGAATGACTGACGATACGGCCCTTACAGGTTCCCATTTCTTTGTCAGTTCTGCTACCTTATTGCTCACTTTGTACCTTATTAATACAATCAGGTATTTGGAAAAGAAACTCCTGCGTTTCTAAACAAAAAATTGATGCGTTTCTATCGCGTCATTGATGACCATTTAAATATACCCCATAAAGGGTCATTCTACAAATACATTTTCGAAATCATTTCAATAAATTCACTAATCGATTCGAACAAGTTCGAATTCTTTTAGTTGAAAAATAATAGACTATAAAAATAGAAATGTGTGCCATTCATCCTGCAAAACAACATTACCATTTTTACGATAAGAACTATATGAGCCCGATAAAACTGTTTATTAAAGTTATTTTATATAAACTTTGGAATATTGTGTTTAACCACTTCCCAGAGTGGTTGGTTAACATATCATTCTTCCAGATAAACCGGTATGACAAGCATATTCAACGATAACGTTTAATAAGGTGACATTTTCAAAAATCAGGAAGTCGGTTTAGAAACGATAGGAACAATTCTTCGAGTAAAGCCAATTTCCTGAGAAAATCTGAGTATGTTTTGGACTATTTGAATTCATTCATCTGTCTACGTTCACTGGACATGGCTATTATGTAAAAAAACCTAAAAAACGTCACAAAATCAACACGTACAGCTACAAAACGAGTTCACAACAATTGTACAACAGCTGTGCTGAGATAACATCTTGTATAAAAACCTACGAAAGCTCACTTTTCGAGGTACGTAATACCCGCACGGGGTAAAAAATCTATAAAATGTCAAAAAAACCTATAGGTTTTTTTTATAAGATGTCAACTTGCAGACAAGGTAGTTTTTAGGGCGTAAACAGTCATTCTACGTTTGCTCACTAGGATCGTTGTGAACGCCCATCTATGGAGGAATGACTCAACTGAACTACACGCATTATTGGTTGCATATGTTTTGCGATTCTGAGTGGTCCGTGTCTGTAGTTTCTATCTCTGAGAAGAAAGTTGGTTGAATAGCAAGATCGCATCTGGATGATTATGTGTATTGGTCTGCATGAGTATAAAATCAGTGATATTTGATGTGTGTGAAAATCTTTAATACTGAATATGCTGTATATGACGGGTTATTTATATGTTGTGCTTTCTGAAGAGAGGTTATGTTCAAAGTCATAAATTACGAAAAACTGAGGAGAATTACGGGAAATCATCACCGCGCCCGCGTTGTGTGTAATTACTGTTAGCATGTATATGGCTTGTACTTCGACAGTATACTGTGAATATAATTATTTCTTATCTCTCTCATTTTTTAAATTCAGCAAATTTGTATATGTAATTTCCAGAATTGACAGTCTCATTACTTAATGTACAGACCTCGTATGTCTTAATTTCTGTTCGACCACCAGGCTGATCACAAAACCACAGTTACGTTAATCAATGATATTTATAGCAGTAATAGAACCTTGGTGTCAAAAACGGCGCACGGTAGGACAAAACGCAAATCTAGTTGTCGAAAAGTATTTTTTCTTCATGAAGAAGTATGTTTCCCTCACAGAGACAATCCAGGGAAAATTAAAACAAGACGTTTTACCGTCGATAAGTGCCTTTTGCACCATATGAGTAAACAAATATCACTTTACAACAACCAATTTTGATAACAATCACGAGTCATTCAGTTATTGTGGATGCCAATTAAAGGAAGCTCTGAAATCTTTTACCTAGGTTCTTTTTTATTTTAACATTTCACCTAATTGCATAGGGTTCTTTTATAGTTTCTTGAGGAAGCCATGTTCGCTGTAGAAAACATGCTCCGCGTAAAAATGGTAAAAGAGAGTGTAGAGCTACAAAAATAAAGAGGGCACATTAAATTACGTACCTACCATGATACACCAGTCTCATGCAAATTTTCGGGGAAATACTTTGACATTGACGCCATCCACTATTAAAGAGGTAGTTTAAGTTCATAAAAGTCAACTCAACCCTTCTTAGAATGGTAATGACAAATCAGATTATTATTTTCGAAAAATGAACATGTCCAGACTTTTGAAAAGGTAGATTCGCATTTCGTACCATTTTATGGTGCCCTATGAACATTTTTATACAGTTCTATTAATTATCTCTGTCGATTGTATGTGTAATGACTAGTAACCAAGAGATTTTTTGGGGCTCTTTTGATGAATGAATTTCGTAATACGTAGATACAAAATGTAAGTACATTTGTATTTACAACAATTTTTTTATAAACAGTCTAAATCGTAATTGAAATGGTTTTTTCATCGATTTGTACACGAACGAATGAAAAATATATGTAAAAAGTGTCACGCGATCATTCAAAGAAAAAATAAAGAAAATGTCTTGCTAATCCATATCTCATTTATTTTTCATTTGCATACTCAGTTTATTTCCTTAAAAAGTACAAACAGACTGCCTAGTCTGGAACAGCGATAAACATTGCGGTTTAGTTAAGTTTACTCATTCTACATGTTTGTATGAACGCCGTGCCAATAAAAAAAATATGTTAGAGAAATATAGAGGCTGATTTTGATCTAATACGTACATGATAATAACATACAGTATGTTGATAACAATATATGTATACAATTCAGGCTGCGTAGAAATAATAACAATAATGTCTCACCATTAGGCAGACAACACCCAGCCATTGTTAACATTTAATCAGAAGGCTAGAAACATAACAGTTGTGCATTTATGATGATATGGCAGCCGAAATATCGGTAAACTCATATATGCATCTGCAGTGGTTCTATTATTGACAACATTAAATACATCATAGGGTATGTTTCAAAAGTTGTGTATTTTCAACATTTTGTGTAGCTAGCATACATCAACGTTAATACCAAAGTTACCCAAAAATGGGTATGAATATAATTTTAAGCGTCGACAGCTTCATTAAAGTGCATGTCTTTCAAGTGTGTATGCGTATGCATTTCATCGGTCCAGAACTTGAAATAAGTTTCTTGTCAACTCAACGGACACAAAAGGCACAAAAACGCACTGTTTACTGTTCACTGAACATTCGAATTGCCTTTGCACTAGTAGCAGCAGAGACTGTGAAATACATGACATTCTTGCATAACATTTTTTAAAATACCTCACTTACAGTTAATAACATTACCGTGTTTGCTTTCGATACAACAGTGTGCTAGCAAGTGTTTGCCTTGATTTGACTATAGTAATAATAATAATAATGTCTTTATTCCCATTTGGCCTGAAAAAGTATCAGTAAATAGTCAAGGAACATAAAATGAAGAAAAAATACTTAAAAGGTTGTGATCTATTCAACATGAAAGTCAAAGCTACAATAAATTAAATAATACAAACATAATGTACACAAGATAACAACATAAAACAAACAGATTAAAAAGACGTGAGTAAATAACAAATAAACAAAAAAATGTCGGACGAACAGATTGAATAATCTGCAATATGCAATAATTTAATTCATACAAAGTGAATTGAGTGACAGCTCTGATAGCACTTGGCAACTTGTTGAACAATCTGATAGGCATTATGAGGGGACCCTTTGCTGATAAAGCATAGCTATGTTGAGGGGTACGCAGACATAAACAATTAAAAAAATAAAGGGAGTATATCGTCATGATGTGGAGAGTTTTGAGTAGCTTATTATTAAAAGTTATTGTACGAAATACTCTCTTCTGCACAAGTATTAGTTTGATCCTTATCACTCGTCTTTACTTAAATTGGTATGAGTGACAAGTTATAAAACGGCAATGGGGTAATTCCGAAAAAGTATTTTTACTTATTTGTATCAACGAGAACTTGAAAAAGTCGCCCCTTAGGATTTTCCATGCACTTCTGTCATATAGGGTTGAGATATACATACAAGTATATAGCAAAGATGAACGGTGAAGACAGTTTTATAAACACCTATCTAGCTCTTATTGTGATTTTACCAGATCTACTCATAATAATATTTCAGGAGTTACAATAGGTTCCTCCAGACATATACGAGAAATGTTTCACTATCGAAATAACATGTAACTTAATGACATCATTTTATCAATTTACTTGGCGTACTTGATAGTACTTGATAATGATGAAAAATCGATTCAGTTAATGTTTATCGTTCCGTTTTTTTTTGTTAATTTAAGCTTACGAGAATGATGATAGTCTTCATGACCACCTGGAACCACCGACCCATTCCAGCAGTTAATTTTTCCGTACCTTCAGAGAGACTGAAATTACGATTTTCGGCTAATTTCTTGCCCATTCTTGCGAATAACATTTGTAAGCGTAATTAGGACAATTTCATAATTTTCTAAAATTAGGCTAATGCCCTTTGGAACGCTTCGGACAGAGGCGTATCGAGGGAAACCTTTCAGCAGTACAGCAACTAGGCGGTTTCAATGCCTAGCCGCATTAAGCTTAATAATGAATAAAGATAAATAACATCTTCATTAACATGGAAACTAATCCTAGATGTTATAATATGGACATAAAATGGTATATAATACAGTGAAATTCTTACATATTATATGTAAATGGTACATGCATATGATTCATAGCATGATGTTTCTATATGATAATAATAATAATAATGGCTTATTGGTGCTGGTACACGAATCGTGCACACAC